TACTATTGATGAAATATCAAAGACATATTCAAGACAAAATGAGGTCAATGACATATCCTTTGTTGTCAACTACAACATGACAGGAAGAAAAAAAAGCATTGTGATATTGCTTTTCTCAGGAGAAAGAGAAAAGTAGTTGATATCAGAGTTCGACTCGGGTCGAATCACAAAAGTTTGACTAATGTCGAGCAATACAACTTATGGAATAGTAGATGACATGATTGTGACTCAAAACTATTAGATTTGTCAACATCACAACATGTTCAACACTCTATGTCAAACAGTGACAGATGATGAAACATTCTGTAAAAATAAATGATGAAATTGACAGCATCTTTTCAGATATATTCTACAAAGTGTAAATACGTTAAGAATGCGAAAATTTTCTTTATATTAATTCATTTTCTACCGTTAGAACATACATAAAATTCCGTCTAAAATCATTTCAGTGTGATGTGTTCTTAAATGACGACAGATCTCTAACCGTTGACATTCTCATCTCTTCTCCTTGCAAAACTCTATATTCAAACATCTGAAGAAATATGGTGTCTTTGGCGTACATTGCCCAACAATATACACTATACGTCGGTTTTTTTCTTTTTATAATCGGTGTTTTTGGCAATTTCATGATTCTATTGATATTTTCAATGGATCGTCAATATCGTACCACACCATGCACATTCTATTTTCTCATTGGTTCTCTACATGACTTGCTTCTTATTTTAATTGTTTTCGGTGTACGTGTAGTGAGTATTGGTTTCGACATCGATTTGACTCGAATTTCAGTCACTTGGTGTAAGGCTCGATACTATTTTTTTTGCACTTGGGCTGGCATATTGTTAACTTGTCAATGCTTAGCAACGTTCGATCAATATCTTATCACATCAAAAAATGCTCGTCTTCGTCGCTTGAGTACTATAAAAAATGCTCATCGAATTGTTGTAGTAACTCTTATTATTTGGTGGACACATAACATACCATGGTTGATTTATCAAGACATATCAACAATCAGTGGCGCATGCATATATATCAGTTCAATTTTTCATCGTTATGTCATCTTTTTTAGTTTGTTTACTCTGTGCTTGCTTCCAAGTGTGTTCCTGGCCGTTTTTGGCTTTCTGGCCTATAGAAATATATCTCAAACGACGACTCTGAGTAAAAAAAATACACATCATCAAATGACAATCATGGTTTGTTGGCAAATCTTCCCAGTCATTTTGAGTGGAATATTTAATGGTGGCTGGAATATTTACACACTCACTACTTATGACATGGTAAAAAATGTTGATCAATTGCATAAAGAATATTGGTTTCAATCGAAGATTGCTCTCTTGGCGTATTTAGGGAGCTCTGTAAGTGATATGTATATATATATGTATATGTGAAGTAAAAAAAAATGGTAAAATCGGTCTTTTGTATTTGAATAGGCACGATTCTATTTATTCTTAGTTGCTTCGAGTCGCTTTCGTCAAGTAACTAAACAATGGCTCTACTGCTGGCAATCAGACCATCAAGTTCCTTCCAATGTCAACGAAATTGTGGTGACAAACGACTGACACAATGACTCACCAAATTAAATTGCTTATGATTGAATATATATATATATGCTTATTTTTTTTTTAATAAAAAGAGCTCCTATAGTCTCTATTCCAGTTTAGAACAACTCTTTTAACAGTCCTTCATTGGCATAATCGACAAAATGTTCACCATCGAAGACCAGCAGTGACCACTCATTCGTAATTCGAGAAATTACTCTATGTTCATAAATAATAGCAAGAACCCTCATAGACAACAACTGTTTCTATCTCGCTAACAACCATATGAAATGATAACAAATGGTTGAAGTTCCATTCTCGGATGTCGTTTCGATTTATTATTAAGAACTTAGCAACAAGTTGTCCCATACCCTAGCCTGATTATCTGCTAAAACTACTAAACAGACATCAACTACAAGACAAGTTCTTTTGCTAAATCTTTTTTATTAGGTAGACAGTTGGCTTGAAATACTCTTTGTATAACTAATACATATTTGGCTTGTATGTGAATGACAAGAAAGAAAGAGAAACTGGAACAAGCTGTGTACGTCTTAACGTTAAATTCTTTCTAAGAATCAGATCATACATGTTGGAAAAGCCTGAAAATTCGGAAACCTAAATCGAGTTTTTGTCTTTCATAATACTCTTTTTCTATGTACTTAGATTTGCATGCCATCTATTTGACAGATTTAGTAGCGGCTTGGGTATATATTGTTTAATTCGGTGCAGAAAAAAGGATAAATCAGGTAATCAAACACTAACAGAACAAAAAATATTAAAATCCAAAAGAAGATATATTGCCAATAGCAGATCGGAAAATGAGAAATATCCGCACAATGCTTTGTATACAGACTAGCCTAAAAGTGACTATATCAAGAAAAAATTGAATATCTCTGGTACGACTCGAGCAAGCGCGTTGATTTTTTTTTAGTCTTAACAAAAAATTTTACTTTTTCACAGATAGAAAAACAATAATGTACTATGAAGAAGAACTAGTTTATAAAGATAAAATACAAATAATCAAATGAATTTTTGACTATTCTGCGCTGTTCATTTCATAAGACTGTCTCTTATATTTCTTCTTTCGATCTACTATAGTCCATGTACATCGTCTGCGCGATGCTAGTTGTCATAGCGCACATTCGAATAGTGCAAGAAATCAGTGTTGTAATTTTTATTTAATCCACTATTAGCAACTAGGCACATTATTTTTTTCGTATCCAGTAATAGATCAAGTTGTTTTTTCTTCTATTGCACACAAAGAAATATCCTACAGTTTTCGAAATGGAGGAATAAAACATATTTCTATTAAAAAGATTGCAGCTAGTCATAGTCAATCTTCATCGAAAACCAGCAAATATGTGTCAGACAAACTTGTATAACATGAAGGCTACATTGTACATCAACAAAAATATAATTAGCCTAAATTAATCAAAAATTTCAGTCATTATATATAGATAGTTCATAACTTTATTTATTCAATGAATACGAAAATATAAGCTAGTTTTAGAAAAAAAAATTTCAATTTCAATACTAATTCTACGAAATTTCGGGCAGGTGCTTAAATAGAATTATCAGAGAAAAAACAAATCATATTTGTCTAGATTGTAGAAATAATATTTTTATAAGTCATATCCATTTAAACCGATGTTGAACATTCAATATATTTTGGATTAAACGATTGAAATGGATATTTTCTTATCTTATTACGAGAATCAATATCTTTGGATAATTCTTGTAATTCTTGTTTAAAAGTCTGATAATTATGTAAATTCTTCGAATAATATCGATTACGTTCTATTAAATGACTCCAATCTTCCAAGATACCAGGCATACGTAAACCAGTAATAACTGATAAAACTAATATTTGTGAATATGTTTGAATATTTTGCATTTCCTTGCCTTCTTGTAATTTAGCTCCAATGAATCGTGGATCTGTCATATAATCACTTATTTGACCAACATGTTCATGTATGCCTGTACTAGCAGCAATTAATTGTGATAAAACATCGATAAAACGTTGTAATGAAGTAATGCCTGAAATGCCAAGTTGTTTGCATATTTCATGAATAAAATTCATAATATATGAATCATTGGGTATATGATTATTTCCATTATCGACAGATAAATTATAATTGATCTTGAAAAAATTATGAACATATTTTTGTATGATATTCCAATATGCATTAAGATCATGATAAATAGGATAAATTTTGTCCCATTCATCATCTGTTCTATTATTCTTATTTGGATGCATTGATTCAGAAATACAGTTTGGTAGTGTACGAAATTTATAATGAATAGATATATAATCGCATACTTTAAGAAATTCATCATAATCAAATGCCCATATTCTATGTACTAAACCACACTTATTAACTAATGATAATGCAGCTTGATAATTAACTGATATGGTATGATAAGTAAATGGTTTTATAAAAATTCGTAATGGATGATCAGCTGGTAAATGTTTACGTGATGCACTTACAAATGCATTACATTCAATCATGTGTGTAGAAATTAAATGATCACCTATTGTAACATATGCAAAAAATGATGAACGCCATACATATTTTGCATGATCCCAAAATTGTTCATCTTTTTTAACTAAACAAGAACCATGAGACCAATAAATGCCAATAATTTGAAAATCTTTATCAAAATAGGCAGCAGCACCATAACGTTCAAATGGTTTTCGAACAGAAAAAGTTGATAAACCAGTCATATCGTTCACATAGACAGCATCGTTTAAAAGTTTACCTTCGGGTATACCATGACCAGAAAGCCATGATTGTTCAACTCGTTGAGTATAATGGCATGCACATCCAGCAAAAGCTAATTGAGTCATAGCTTCATCTGATAACATATCTGTATAAACAATATTTGGTATCGGTAATGCAGCAAACATTTTTGAACGCCATGCAAGTGCTTGTTCAAGTGTATCGAATTCTATTAATGAATCACGAAAATCCCATATGTTTTGATTCATCAGCCAACGAGCCAAACGTCTCAATAGTGGTGAACCATTTGGCTTATCTTCATCCCAACTTGGTACAAATTTAGCCATATCAATACGAAATATACTTAGGTCATGTGTTGGTAAATCTAATGGTGGTTGAATATCAATAGCACGTGCTGGAAATGAGTATGATTCCTTAACGGCTAATTGCATTAGTAACATTATTATTTTGGTGTAATTATCTAATGCATTGTAACAACTTCGATCTCTTTCATTAAATTGATTGATGGTTAAATTTGATAATACCCATTGTCGTTCATTTTCATCAAATATTTCATTAGAAAATTCTTTTGAAATCAGTGATTGTATAGTCGTGTCCTTTTCTAATATATGATCTGATTGTTGAGACTTGCTGTCATCATTTGGATTACGCATAGTCGTTGGAAAATCTTAAAAAAAAGATATTTATATATAAATATACATTTCAATGGAAAACTACGAAATGATTAGTGATTAATAGAAGATTTACCTTTTTTCTCTAAATCATAATTGTCATTAGTATCAAATGAAGGTGGTGCAAATCGTTCAGCTACATATTGAATAACATCGAGTGATAGATCGTGTCCTGGACAATAGCGTACTGGTCGTTTTGTTTTATCGACATTCATAATGTCTTCCTCGACACCATTCCATACAATAATTTTATTCAAATCAGATCTTTCTGGCATAAAATCATTAGGATTTTGAAATATTGTTTTGTCACGATTTGCATTGACTATTGAACAATGAATAGGTGTATTCGGATAAATATTGATATTTTCATTTTTCTGCTTAAATTCATTTTCGATTTCATTAGCAATATCATGTGTGGCTAAAACATTTACCATTGGTACAACTTTATCAAGTCGTGCACATTCTTTAATAAAATTGTGAGGATTTTTTCGAAATAAATGAACATATTTTTCTGGATTTGACCATAATCTTTCGATAACAGTTACTGCTAATTTAGATGGAGCAATACTTCCTGCAACACAAAATACGATAGTAATTAATTTTAATACTTCAGATTTTGATTTTTGATTGTCGGCTGCAGTAAAAGCAGCACATAATGCTGATCCATCAATGTGTCGTGCAAATGCTTGAAGTAGTGTGTAATAACTTTGTAAAGTTTTTCGTTCGAAATAATGTCCAAATAATAAGAAATTGAACCAATTCGGAAAAAATATAAATGGTTTTTCGACACAATCAATAAAAGCAATTCGTTCATTTTTTCTTAATTCACCATCCGTTGCCAAGAAAAACATGACTTCACCGATTGCTTGATATACGATATATTTGCTTGGTTGTTCATCGATTTTACGTGGTACAATTCTAGATAAATGAAGTCGTGCTTCAGAATCTTCCTTGAATAGATGATGAGGAAAGGCATGTAGCCATTGAAAAATAATATGACGACTTAGTTTCATATTTGGATTATCTGATGAGAGAAATACAGTCGTTAAATCACAAAATGTTTGTTGAGATGAAGAAACTTTCCAGCCTAACGATTCAAAACCTTTACACGGTGGAATATCTTGTATATATCGTTTCACTAATTCATATGAACCAACACCAATACCATCGCCAAATATAAAATATGGTAGATCGTAAACTTTTGAAAAATAATCTTCTAATGCATGGAATAATGCATTTGGATTCGATTCATTTAGAATATATTCAATAAATATTGCTAATTGTAAAAGCAAAAATTTTAAATGCCAAATAAAATTTCTTTTAGCCATTGATGTTGTAATTAACTTTAATCTCATTGTTGCTGTAACATTACGAACATATTCAGGAATTCTCTTGTTTGGAATTGCTTGTGACTTTGCATCTAGCTGCTGTATTAATGCCGATGGAGTTCGATAAGTAATACGGCAATAAATGATTAATATAATGTAAACTGGCAAAGTAAAAAAGAATAAGACCAACAATCCAAGTATACCGAGTGCAAAATGGTAGATTTTACGTAGAAATTTCGAAAAATTATCACCAAATCGAACGTAATGAGGATTGAATAAATCAGTTTGAATTTGATACATATGCGATTTTTCAATGAAGTCTTGATAATTTTTCATATGAATTCGACCTTCAATTCGATATTTTTTCAAAAAGGTAACTTTGGCCATTGTATACAATAAAAATCCAAACGGTGCTGCCATAAAAGTTGTTAAAAGAATTCCAGTAAAAACAATTCGTCCAAATGTCCACGATCTATCGATATAATGTCTGCCATTTGCATTACTCGTAATACTATAAGCAAAACTATATCCACTATAAAAATCGTACACCATCCAACGACCAATCCATAAATCCATAACATGCAAATGATTAATGGTACCAATGACTAATAATGGATCTTTCAATAAATCGAACCATCCTGATAATTGAAAAACATTGAATAATGGATTATTCGAGTTTCGAAAGAATAATGTTTGAAACAATATTAATGTATACAATAGTGATAAAAGAAAAGCTGATAAAAAAATTAAGTATTTTGATAATTTGTGAAAAGGTGCAAATATTAATGCAAGCCAGCCTATAACAATAATGTTACTCCAATTAAATAATTGATCAACTGTCCACGGAATGATGATCATTATGAAGAATTATTTCGAGTTATGTATCAAAGCGTGTACACTTTCTCGTTTTTGTTGATGGACAAAGTAGATCTAGAAATAGAATATGTATATTATAATGAACACTAACAAAATTAAAATTTAAACAGGTTGTATGTACCTAGAGTGAATGTGCAGAGTCTATCGATATGCACCAACAAGCATTCGAGAAATTGTTTCAAGTTTTGGAAAATTTCACAAAATGATTGGTCATACAGAAAAGTTTTTCTATTCGGAAATTCGAATAATTATATGTTAAATAATTTGGCTCTTATTTTACGCATTTAATCACCATTCTATAGAGAATGAGATATAACTTATGAAAAACTCTCATTGATTCTTAATAAAAGTTCACTGTTGATAGTGTAACACGGAAATACTAAACAGAAAACAGAGTGTCGCATGTGAGATTTAAGATCTTGCCGAGCATTGTGCCTTGAATAAATAAACAAGTACATACTTTTTGTAAATGTCTACGCAGATTTAGACAGAATTCTTCGACTTGATAAAACATGTCTCTAGATCTATTACTTTATATTAATCATGAACATGCTTACAAAAATAGTATATAGAGATTATAAAGGTTCAACACAAGTCAGCTAACTTTCTGTGTAGCATTAAATTCTCTTAGATTTTCAAACAGCCTTGCCATAAAATGGACATAAATTGTTTGGGCAAATATAGAATACTCATAGTTCAATGTTGGAAATCAGCGCCAAACCTTACAGATATTTTGCTAATTATTTTTCCCTTTTAACTCATCTCGACTGGTGTCGAATTCAGATGTCCAATGATAATTGTATTTCACTCTGGTCAAACACGATGGCTAATAAAACTATGGAAAACACTGCTGGATGGATAGTAATACGTACCGATAAATATTCGAAGTAAACCAAGTAATAACAACTGAGTATGGGTGTGGTGTTGATCGTCTGCTGGTTTTTTGACACTAATACGCACACTCTCATAGAAAAAAAAAGTGTTCTTTTGGATTATGAAAAAGAATCAACCCGTACTCTCTCCCTAAGTGTTTTTATTATTTCGGTGGAAGACTGATCCATCAATGCCTTTTCAGGTTGCGTCTCTGATCCTCTGTCACCACAATAGATCCTGCAATACTTCTTTCACTAATTGCTCATTAATTATTGATCAGGGAATCGTTATCATGTGTTAATTATGTATTAATAAACTGTTAATTAGTTTATTAATTAATTAATTAAATGAAGCATCTGATACGGCCTGTGGGGGCTAGAAGGTACAAATTTCTACTCCATATACTTCAACATTCCTTTTCAATCGTGTTTCGCGAAAAAATATCAGAACGACATTCATTCTCTCGCATTTTCATATGAGCGATGGTCATTTTTTTCTCTTCTAGGCACGCAGCGCATCTATAAAAAAAAAGCTGAGTATAGAATGAATGCAAGAATCTAAGATACTTATCGCTTCAAAATAAAGAAATGGAACAATGATAAACCATTGCAATGTAATCGATTATCATGTTTGCGTTCTTATTATGGTATTAACAAGGCAAAACGCTGAAAAATAAGATTTGATGCCTTTTTTCTTAATAGCATCAAACCAGGAGACAAATGGATAAATACCAAAAGGAAAAACAAATATCTATATATGTAGACATCAGTGATGTATTGAAATTATCATTAGCATGAAGAAAAAAAAAGAAAGTAATCTACTTCAAAATGATAACATGGAAGTAATATTCGTTGTTTTTCTGTTTCTATTATAATTCTCATTCTTGTATGGGACCGAGTGCTACTTTTTGTCAGCTTGTGTCTAAAGTACAATCATACGGATGGAAAATAGCTAATTGAAAAAGAGAAGAAAAAGATTGCATCCAGTTCGAGCACATGTATTAATGACTGTAAATAGGCGAAAGGATACACTATGACATCAATATGTCATCATCATCAAGAAAAACAATTCAAGCGAATCAAAACTTTCTAAATCATTTTTCTTATAATACATATCGTGAGAAAGAATGATAATGATGGAAGAAAAATGTTTTTGCACGAAGAACTTGAGTATTTTGGAAATGAAAATCATGTGATATGAACATATCTTAAAACATGATCTGAAACCTTCTAGCGACCACAAGCACTTGAGTATTAAACAAGCGTTAGTGTTTGTTTGTTCAAGAGAATGTAATATGATTGAATATTAGAGAAGTTTTTTTTTCAATGATTTAGCTATTCCCTCGTTGTAAATGTCAATAGCTGTCACCTAATTAATGTTAATAGTTCATAAGCAAGTACTTATAAAAAATTGAATATTATAGTTGTTTTTTTGTAACAATTATGCTATACCCCATCTTCACTTCAAATGTGGGTGTGAATGAGAATGTGTGATTGCTAGTTTCGACTATGAGAAGAAGAACTCTTATTCACACGTTCAAGATTACAATCGACTTTAACATGTATAAATGATATTCGAGTTATTCGATATTTACTCGAAATTCATTTTAATCCTTAAATAAAAATGATTCGACGACAAGATATTTTTCTCGAATAATGTCTGTCGCAATTCAATAGTTATTTAATGAATGATGATCATATATATGTTCACAATTAAAACTTTTATTGCAAAATTTGGATCAACCATTTTATTTTAATGAACTTATTAACGAACTGAAAGGAAAATTCAATGCTGAACAACATTCGAATGAACTTGAATTGTTCGATGAACAGAGAACAGATAAATTGCGACCAATTCTATATTTTGTCTCTATTGTTTTCAATATGAAACTATGCTCTTGAAATGATCGAGCAATTACAAAATATCTTTCATTAAAAACTGTCGAATTTAGAAAAGTGTCATTCTTCATATAAATCTCATTTGATCTATCAACTGTATCTAAAAGCTACCAACATCATTTGTTTGCCAAAAAGAAAGATCTATTCAACAAGATCTGAAAATTATGAAGCATATGATTATTAGAGTTTCATTCATCAATTTATACATCGTATCCTAGAAATCACTTAACAAATAGAAACCTGATTATTTCTATTGTTTTTAAACCATAGAAGCTGAAATATTCTTTAGTGATAGAGAACACCTTTAAATTTTTATTTTTATAAAAAAATTTTCAGATATATGTAAAATCTATTAACTTTGACTGATCTACAAAATTTTTTTTTGTACTTTGAAAGCTTTGTACGCGGAATGAATCTTAGAAGGTTGAAAGTTCTTGAGCTTATATTTTGTTCAATCGTAGCGGATCGTTAGAATAAATAATCTCTATAGAATTCTTAATTTTGTTGTCTTCTGATCGAATTATTGAATCTTCCATGAATTCTTTCTTCTCGAACTCTTTAGCGACGCTACTCCAAAATATCATCATATTTGCGAATTTTGAATTGAAAATTTACTTCTACACTTTTCTCTACTAGAATAGTTTGTTTAATATGCTTCAAAATAGTAGAGTATAGTTTCTTTGAGATACAGATTTTTAAAAAACTAGGCGATTTTAAATCGATATTGTTTAAAAAATCTTGATGGTGAAAAATTCAGTGTTCGTTTATTTTTTTCAGAGGAATAGGAACTTCCAAGTGTTCTCAACCACCGGAGAAAAGGGTGGGTCTTCTTTTCACTCACACCCTCTGTAACACGGGTGAAGGTTCATGACTATTCTCTGTTAATCGATGAAAACTGTAGAGGAATAACTGCGTAATTTGTTTCGCGAGATATTTACACTCGTCTATATATTTGCTGTGAATATAAATTGTCATGACTACAGAAACAAGTGCATTTGAAATAAAATAAAAATCCAATCTGTGCTCATGTGTGTTTCTTTTAAAATTTATTTGTTAATAAGTTTGATGTATTCAGAGAAAGCTATCAATGTTTATTCTTGTTTTGCTGCAATTCATTTGCCATTATTTCGGACATTTTGAATTTTTGTGCTTTACCCGTCGGTGTCATAATGAATTGGTCTACAATTCGTATATGTGTCGGTATTTTGAAGAAAGCTAATCTATCTTTAAGAAAATTTCGAATATCCTCCACTTGACATTTGGGTGCATCAGGTTTCAATCTAATCCAAGCACATACTTCTTCATCGTATCGTTCGTTTGGAACCGAAAAGACTTGTGCATCGACTACATATGGATGTTCAGCAATAGTATTTTCAACTTCAACAGGATAGATTTTGACACCACCACGATTAATAATATCTTTTTTGCGTCCAACAAAATAGACATAACCATCTTCGTCCATTGTACCTTCATCACCGGTTCTAAGCCATCGCGATGGTGTGATGGTCTCTTTTGTTTTCTCGATATCACCATAATATTCACGCATCACCGAATGGCCTCTTGTCTGAATTTCACCTGATTTACCGATGGGTACTGTATTGCCTTTTTGATCGACGATTTTTATTTCTAAACCTGGCATTGGTCTTCCGATCGATGAAAGACGACGCTTGACATCTTCGTCACCAGCCCACATACTAGAAGTTATAATACCAGCAGTTTCAGTCATTCCATAGGCTTGCGCCATACGAGTGATTGGAACCTCTTTTTCTAATTGACGTAAAAAATCGATATGCATTGCATTTGCTCCTGATAGACCGAAAACCAATGAAGTAAGATTGTATTTTTTCCGATCTGGATGCATCAATATATCACGAAAAATAATCGGTGCGCCAATAAGTGCAGTACATTTTTCTTCATGAATAGCACGCATAGTAGATACTGTATCGGGTAGAACAGCTGGAAAAGTGAGATGACATTTAGCAACTGCTGCATTGAGGACACCGACCATTTCTGAGAAAATGTGAAACATTGGAATAGGAACACAAAGACGAGTGAAAAATTGACCGAAATGTTCCCATTGACTACGAATCAAATTAATCACACCGGAACTGGTCAATGTTGCAGCCTTTGGTTGACCTGTAGTCCCAGAAGTGTAGAAGATTTCAACGGGTGCATCAGGATCAATGGATGCTTGTCTTTCAATAAGACTTT